ATAAATCTTTCGGAGAAGAGAATCTATTCCAGCTTGCCTAGGATCTGCCAGCACCACAAACTTGATCCCTGGAGAGAAGCCAAGAGGGTAGATAATGCAGCAAATGTCACCCTGTATTTGTACAGCACTTTCAATTTTGCAAAACTTTCATAAGACCATTTTTAGTTTATCCTATTGCTACATAATGCAGGAAATGCAAGACTTTGAATCAATGATGAGACCAGAGAAGTGAAGTGACTTTATCATATCACCAGGCTTTGAGTTCCAGCTCTACCATTTGTTACCAGTCTTGGAATCCCTCAACAGAAACACGCCAGTAGGGAGACAGACTTAGGCAGTTTTCAATAATCTACATTGAGAAAGTGAGGCAATGTCACTCGCAATCCAAAGGCCATTTCCATTTGGCTTTCAAATTTCATTCTGGAATACTTACACTTTTCCCAAATGTGTACATGATAGCATTAAGGTGAGATTTGAATACAGGATAATCAACGTTCAGCATGCTGGACGATGTGGACAAAATCACCTTCAGAGTAAATTGCCTTTGGATTCACAAAATAAGCAAATAAATGTGTCTGTATAATTGTCCCAGGAAAAACTGACACCACCTCCCTCCTTGCTTACTAAAGCTGTCTTGAATCGATCTCTTGCCCCAACCTGCCCCATCACATCCCTCTGGCCTATCTGGAGAGGCATACCTGTCAGTGTCTGGAAGCAGTGCAATTTGAATGTGTCTGTCTCTAGCATCTCAATGCCTGAGCTTCCCTGTTCAGGAGACAGCTGGGAGCCGATGGCAAAGAGCCTATACACAAAGGAGGCAAAGTTGGGAATGCATCCCAATGCTGGAAGGAAGGAGCGCTTATTACATTTTTCCACCGAAGTGCCTCTATCTGCTGAGGAGTTCACAATACAGCCTGGGACAGTCAGGAGAGGTGGTATGAACTGCCTGGCAGCAACGTCAAAATTTCTTTTAAATTCATTTGAACTCTGCATATATTTTACATTACATACTTTTCTATAAAACATTTTACATTGAAAACTTTGGGTAAAATGAACACTGTAGGCATATGTGCCATGCTTACTTAGCTCGTGACTAGGCCTATGCCAGCACATCTCATACCACAGTTGACAGCAAGAAAAGATATTTCAAGATCATTTATTTCAATTGGCCTATATTAAAAATGAAGAAACTAGGGCCGGCCCGTGGCTCACTCGGGAGAGTGCGGTGCTGATAACACCAAAGCCATGGGTTCGGATCCTATATAGGGATGGCCGGTTCGTCCACTGGCTGACTGTGGTGCTGACAACACCAAGCCAAGGGGTTGAGATCCCTTTTCCGGTCACCTTTAAAAAAAAAAAAAATGAAGAAACTAGGGCCGGCCCGTGGCTCACGCGGGAGAGTGCGGTGCTGATAACACCAAAGCCATGGGTTCGGATCCTATATAGGGATGGCCGGTTCGTCCACTGGCTGACTGTGGTGCTGACAACACCAAGCCAAGGGGTTGAGATCCCTTTACCGGTCACCTTTAAAAAAAAAAAAAAATGAAGAAACTAAAGCTCAGAGAAGTTGGCTTAAGCATGATCACGCCACTGCCACTATCACCTAAAACCTAGACATACTGGATCAGTTGTTCTTTTCGTAACACAAGAATAGACTGTTTAAGAGAAGGTAGAGAAAGGTAAGTAGCGCCGCTCAGAAGACTGCCCACAGAACCACACTAACCCAGCCAGCCTAAGAACCAAGTGCAGGCCAACAGGCACGAAGCAAGGGTGGGCGACTTACGAGTGGAACATGGAGGCCAGCATGAGCTTCTCATTGGAGGTGAGGCGGGGCCGGCCGAATCGAATGGACACTGGATAATTACCAGGATTACCGAGATACTCCAGCACCTCTTTCCCGTCCGCCGTGTATCTCCCGTTCACGTCCACGCCATTGATGGCCAGCACTGCATGGCCCACTGCGGAGGTGAGGCTAAGAGTCAGCGAAGCTCCAACCCCAGGATTCCGGCGAGGGGACAAGGACTCGATCCCATCCCCTCGCCCCCCACTTCTGCACCTACTACACACCACCAGCCCACCTGCTCAGCACCGAGCCCCGCTCCCCGGGCCCGAGCCTAGCCCACCCCGGATGCCGTCCCGCTGGCCGAAAGCAACCAGCACACGCTCGTCGTGTAACTTCAGCAGCAGATCCAACGGATAGCTGAAAGTCTTCTCAGCCTCAGACCTCGGCGCGTAGCTGTCCAACTGGTAAATCAGGCCACCAGCTTTGTTCACCACATACACACTAAAAATTGCCATCGCCGCCGCCGCCGCCGCCGCTCAGAAACCCGGTTCCGTCTCTTCCCGATGGCCTCACCCGGGAACCGCAGTCACAGGAGCCGCCCCCTCCCTGGCTCTCTCCTCTCAGCCCCAGCGTGCCATCACCTGCGGCGCTTGCGCACTTGGAGTTATACGCTTGGGCTTTAGTAATGCCTTAGTTAGTAGTCGGGACCTGGTCAATTATTTTCCGTGTTTCAGTGCCAGAAAATAGCACTATGTAACTGCTTCACGACTACAGCAAAGCCCAACAACCTGAGGGCCGTGTCCAGGGTGAGAAACGTGGGAAAAGGAAGCCACTTGAACCCACTTCCGGCTAGTGAGCGAGTGCTTCCCCATATAACTTCTTCGAGTTAGCTCCGCCCCTTACCCCGGAAGTACTCGCCGCGGAGGCTTCTGAGCCTGTTCGTGAACGGCGCTTCCTTTTTGTCCGACATCTTAGGCAGGCTGCAGTCGTCGTAGGTGCTCTCGGAGCTTCGCGATGGTGAGTTTCAGGGTGTGAAGCCGGCGGGGTTCTGAGAGCGGGATGATGTTAGGGCGCAGTGGAGGCGGCATCGGACGGGAGGGCTCCTTGGACTGCAGGGCTGGCTCTCGGGCGGGCGACGGTATTGCTCACCCATGTGCTCCGGTAGTGGAGTTCGGGAGGGATTTGGGAGGTCGCTAGTAGGGGTGCCTGGGACTCCTTTAGGACCTGGCTGCATTCCTGCTTTCCTTCCACAGCCGCCCAAGGACGACAAGAAGAAGAAAGATGCCGGAAAGTCGGCCAAGAAAGACAAAGATCCAGTGAACAAATCTGGGGGCAAGGCCAAAAAGAAGGTAGGAATGAGCTCTCCTTTGAGAGTAAGGGAGATTGGGAGCGCACTCCCGTAGCGCTCTAGTAATAAGTCCCGTTTATAGTCAGTACTTTACAGTTTGTAGGTTTTAGATTTTATGCCCCACATCACCACTTATGCTTTTTCCCTATTGAAGAATTGAGGTGGTGCATACTAAAGGTCCTGGAAATGAAACAAGGGTGTATAAAGTATTTGCTCCATTGCCTAGCGTATGTTATCTTAACGGATCCTGTGGGGCTCGGCCCATATTTCAAACCCCCAAACACATGTCGTTTATTTTTGCAACATAATTTGTCTTTGGAAGAGATTTCTCTGATACAGGTCGCTTGGGAGGGAAAGGGTTCTTCTACCAGGAGTACTGACTTGTTTTCCCTTTTGTTTTTGTGAGCAGAAGTGGTCCAAAGGCAAAGTTCGGGATAAGCTCAATAACCTAGTCTTGTTTGACAAAGCTACGTATGACAAACTCTGTAAGGAAGTTCCCAACTATAAACTTATAACCCCAGCTGTGGTCTCTGAGAGACTGAAGATTCGTGGTTCCCTGGCCAGGGCAGCCCTTCAGGAGCTCCTTAGTAAAGGTAAGGGGTATTTTGTACTGGTATTTTATACTGGCTTTTGCAGGTTAAATTTATCTTAAACATTTAGCTTAAGTGCTTTTAGGAAAGCACTTCCCAACTGGGAAAGCAGTTGGAAGTTTTTTAAAAAGGCATAGGAGGGGCCGGCCTGGTGGCGCACTGCTACAGTGCGCCGCTTGGGAGCGCAGCAGCGGGAGGGTTCGGATCCCACATACAGACCACAGACCGGCCGCTCACTGGCTGAGCGAGGTGCGGGCACAACACCGAGGGTTGGAATTCCGTTGCCGGTCCCGGCCCGGTCCGGGCGCGACACTGAGGGTTGCGATCCGTTGCCGGTCACGAAAAAAGACAAAAAGGAAAAAAAAAAAAGGCATAGTAAAACAAGGCCATCGACTGTTAGTAAAACAAGGGTACTTCAAAAAGTTCATGGAAAATAGAATGAAATGAATATGAATCCTATGAACTTTTTGAGGTACTTGTATTGTAATTTTAATACTTTGTTCTTGGGATAGACGCTAAAGCAGGGTTCTCAGTCATTTTTGTGCCATGGATCTCAATGGCAGTTAAGTGAAGCCCAGGAATCCTTTGTTTCAACTGAGTAAATGCATAGAATTACAGACGAAACATGATTATTTTTGAAATACGGCTAAACATTAAAAACCTTTATGGCAAAATTTTTTTATTAATGGATTAAATTTAAAAATCAAGTAGTGGGTCTAATTACTATAGTTTCATATACAGGATATTCAAAAAGTTTATGGAGAGATTTGTGTTATCTTTTAATTCTATTTTTAGCAGTGAGTATAAATTAAGCTAACTATATTGACTGCTATAATATGGGAATAGTGACTTATAAGTAATAGGAAAATGCTAGAGTGACTATGTGAACAGCAGGTGATAGGCCACTAATTTAAAAGTAAAAATAGATCATCCAAGAACTGTACCAACTGTCTCAAATTAAGCAATTCTGTTTTGGGAAGGGTTAGGAAACTTATTAGTTTCTAGCATTTGTTAAGCTAAGCATCTTGTACTACTACTATGTGAAAACCTGTCCTTTCTCCCTAGGACTTATTAAACTGGTTTCAAAGCACAGAGCTCAAGTAATTTACACCAGGAATACCAAGGGTGGAGATGCCCCAGCTGCTGGTGAAGATGCATGAACAGGTGAACCAAGAACCCAGGGGCTCGTGGCATAGGAAGTGCATATCATATTACAAGGCTCTGTGGTTCTGATTTTTCATTTACTTTTTTTTTTTTTTTTTACAGGTCCAACCAACTGTACGTTTGGAAAAATAAAACTTTATTAAGTCAAATGAATGGGTATGTCTGTTTCCTAAGAAAGGCCATTACAAAGGATTTGGTGGAAGGAATAATAGTAGTTATGGGTCTGTTGACTTTGCTTTGACACTTATAGTGGTTGGAAGAGTATCTGGAAATAACTAGCTTTTTAATTTATGTGACTGCTCTTTGTTCCTTGCTGCAGCTTCAGTTTTGAATTGATGCCTAAAAAGAAATGAAGGGTTAACAGATGAAGGGTGAGATTCCAGAGAGGTGGAAGGTTGAGTCCTGATACTGGATCCATACCTGGACTGCCAGCGGCGCCCATTATTCCAGACCCGGCCAAAAGAGGGCAGCCAGCCTACACTGGTGCTGGAGCTGTGATCAAAGTTGGCCCCAACTCGGTCTGGGGGGAGTTTCTTCAATTTCTGTTTTTCCTCTGCAATGATAGGGAAATAGTTTTGAGTGTGAAAATTTAAAGAACCCTCTGCCCTTCTTGAATTAATTTACTCACTTTCTTTAAGAAATTCTTCATAGGAAGGTCCTATTTGTTGGTTCCCAGGGCTGTACTCATCATCTTGGACCATCCAGGGAGGTGTGGCACCTGGAAAAGGAAGACCCATTAAGCAGAAATGAAGGCAACTTTTAAAAAAAAAAAAACTTTCAGACTATGTGAAACATGAACTAGCTATTAGGTGAGCTCACTTCACCTAATAGAGAACTAGAAATGTTGAAATGTTTGCTTTTGTTGAAAAGCAAAAACCAGGAATTCTGGAGCTTGGAAATATGAAAGCCTGAGACTAATTTAAAGCAACAGGGCTGGCCAGTTAGCTCAGTTTAGGTTAGGGTGTGGTGCTGATAACACCAAGGTTAAGGGTTAGAGCCCTATATCTGCCAAATAAATAAAGCAACATACCTTAAATGTGATACACTCTTTTTAATAGCCTTGAGACATATAACTGCCCATATTTGAATATGGTGCCTTTTGAGGGAAGCCATCACATTCAAGACCCTGAACATCACCCCCAGGTAGCCTTGTGCCCCATTAAAATCCTCCTCCTGTCCCTCCTGATACCATTCCCTTGTCCCAGGCCATCACTGATCTGCTTTCTATCACTTTAGTTTGCATTTTTTAGGATTTCCTATAAATGGAATAGTATATCATTGGTGGGGAGGGTCTGGCCTTTATCGTAATTACTTTGAGACTGATCTGCATATATCAGTAGCTCCTTCATTGCTGAATATTATTTATCCACTTAGCTTTTGATAGACATTTGGATTGTTTCCAGTTTGGGGCTACCACAAATAAACTGCTAGGAAGATTTGTATAGACAGGCTTCTTAGAAATTCTGTGGGTAGGGCTGGCCCCTGGCTCACTCGGGAGAGTGTGGTGCTGATAACACCAAGGCCCCGGGTTCGGATCCCATATAGGGATGGCCGGTTCGCTCACTGGCTGAGCGTGGTGCTGACAACACCAAGTCAAGGGTTAAGATCCCCTTACCGGTCATCTTTTAAAAAAAAAAAAAAAAAAAATTCTGTGGGTAAATACTAGGAATGGAATGGCTGGATCATATGGTGGTGGTTTGCTGAACTGTTCCACAGTGGTTGTACCATTTTACATTCCCACCAGCAGTATATGAGGGTTACCCAGTTCCTCCACATAATTGCCAAACACTTTGTACAATCAGTCTTTAATTATACTTATTATATTATGTGTATAGTTGTATCTCCTGATGGTTTTAATTTGCATTTCTGTAATAACTAATGATGAACATAAGCTAGTTCATAAGCTTTTATTGGGTTTTCTTACTGAGTTTTGACAGTTTTTGATATATTCTGTATACAAGTCCTTTATCAGATATACATACTTTATCTTGGTCAATTTTATACCTTAAAAAAAATTGCCTCTTAACGGTTTTAGAAACACTGCCCTGGACCTTACCTGAGTGGATGTTACCAACTCCTGGTATATCCTGTAGTTGGAAATGGGGGAAAAAAAATCCTAGATAAGAAAGCTAAGAAATGATAGGATACTCATAGCTAGAGACAAAGCAAGCTTTAAAGGTGGCTGAAATTGCTGCCACAATTGCTAATCCTGCACCCCAGTTGATGTTAAACCTTAAGAGCATAAGTCACTGAAAGACAGTCCTATCATCAAGAGGGTCATGGTCTTAATAGTAGAGGTGTCCAAAAGTAGAGTGCCTACTACATACGAATGAACAAAACCCTGCCTTCATAAAGCATACATGTTGTTAGGGATGAGTCCTGTTCAGATAAGCCCTCTATAAAAGGAGTGACATCTGAGCTAAGGACTGAAAGAAGGTAAGCTTTCACAAGGTGATGAGGGAACAAAAGCATATTTTAGGCAATGACAATTATGTGTAAAAGCAGGGAACAACACAGGCTGGAGTACAGAATACGAGATGGCAGGAGGTGTGATGATTTTCTGTATTTGGGGCAGCACTACAGGTGAAGTATAAATTGTCTCAAGGCTGAATAGAGGCAGACAGGAAGTAAAATTGATAGATGTACTCATCGATAGGATATGGGAGATGAAAGGGTGCATCTGTAGTGACTGGAAACACAGGAGTGGTGGGGGTTGGTTTCAGATACCTGTGGGACATTGGTTAATTAATGTCCTGTACTGAACTGTAGCTATGAGTTCTGAAGAGGGCAAGATTTAGGAGTTGGCACTCCTAAATGGCAGTGGTGGCAACAGGCGTGGATAAGACTAACAGGAAGGGTGAGAAGAGATGTCTTAGAACACAACACTAGGGAATAGTATAGTTAGAGGGAGCCTGCAGAGGAGACAGGAATAGTCAAGAGAATACGTAGAAAAACAGAAGAAAGAGTGTTCTGGGACCAGAGGGGGCATTGGTCCTCTTCTGGCTTGCTTTTCCGTTGTACCTGATGGCCAATGAATGTCAGAGGTTGTCCTGTCTCCATCCAGTCAAGCTCTGGAGCTGGTGGCAGGTCCAAGCATGAGGGCTGCTGTGAGCTGGAAGCTACTCGGCTGAAAGGCAAACAGGAGTCAGGCTGGCAGATGAGGTCCTTGAGCCATGAGGATGGCAAAGATTAGATTTGTTCCCATTTCCCAGCCAAAGGTTATAGATTGCTCTAAGATATCAAACTGCCAACAAGAAGATTCCCTACAATCTTACCTATTTGTCTCTTTCCAGCTTCCAGGTGCTGAAGAGCCCTCTTCTGGGTCTGGCACTGCCTGAGGCTGAGTTTGATTCAGGAAAAATAAATGTGTCTAGAATGCTTAAGACCCTGCCTAGGCCATGTCCCCACCTCCAGACCCCCGGTATTATAGGAATGAAACAACTTAGTACATGGAGGGTACTGCCCAGCTTGCAAACTCTTCCCTCCCCCCCACTCCTGCCCACATCTTCTCCACTGACTAGGCCTGCCCTCTGGCAGAGAGATAAGGGAATTCAAGCAGAGCAGGTGAGGAATGGAGTCCGTGAGTTCTCTTAGAAGAGCTGGTTCGTGAAATGCTGGACCTGGGAAAGCCAGGGATCAGTGGATTTGGATACTGTTCTGGATCCTCCGAGGAAAACCAACCTCTAAGACGGATCGAACCAACTCCTGCCTGTTCTGCTCCACCTCACGGATCTGAGCTGCCATCTGTGGGGGAGAGGCTGCTTAGATGGGTTCAGGATCCTGGGGCTGGTCTTTCAGAGGCCTTTCCTTTAGCTAACCTCTTTGATCACCTCATCCTCTTTTTCCTCATAGGAATCCAAACCTTTCACCATGGATTTCTTGAATCTAAAAAGAAAAGGGGAAAAGTCAGCCCAGAACCTTAGCCACTGCCAGCTGTGGAAAGCTCTTCAATAGAAAAAAATTGAGAAATTTTGAGAAATTTCAAACTCACAGAAACAAAATAGTACATTGAATACTTTTGTGTACCTCTTACCCAGATTCACTTAAAATTCTGCCATGCTGGCTCCACTTTTCTTTTATACATAGACACACATATACACACACTTTTTTTTTTGCCAAAACAATAATAGTGTTAGATGTCATGAGATTTAACCCTAAATATTTCAGAATGTATGTCCCAAGAACAGGAACATTCTATACAACCATGATACCATTACCACACTTAAGAAAATCAATTACTCTTTTTGATGTTCGAATTGTCCCATATTTGGCTAGTGAGTACAGACACAGTCTATATAGAGTACAGACATAAAGTCTATACTCTAATTTCCCCCATTGTCTCAAAAATGTGCTTTATGGCTTCTCTGTCCCCCACCCAAGGTCCAATTAAAGGTCACACAGAACTTGGCTGTTAGATTATAACCATATGGTCACTGTAGTTATAAAGCTATACTGCAATTTATTACTATCATTATTTGGCTAGTGAGAACCCCTTCAAGCCAGCTCCTATATCCTCTGGACCTGATTCCATTAATCTGTGTACTTTCTCACTTTCTAGCACAACACATTCCAGGCTCAGCAAGTACTTTCTCTCCTCCACACCTGAAAACCAGTTCTCCAATGAGACTTGGGTCCTTTTACTGGAAAACAGTGTTTAGAAGCAAAGAGCTGAGTGTTAACAAAGGTCTTAGTACTACACAGGTGTTATGCTTCTAGCTTTTCCTGAGGACAGTTTTTTTTTTCCTTAATTCACAGTGGTATCTCCATATTCAAATCCCTCCACTCCTTACATTTATCTTCCTCTGTCATAGTGAAAACTCTGGTTCCCAACAACATCAATATATTTACAGTTGTTTTATTATATAATACACAAAAAGGTTTCCAGATAATTCCAATACCACTATCAACAGTGCCCTGGCCGCCTCGCACATATTGATACATGCAATGGCTTGAACCAGAGCTTATTAGAGTCTTGGCTGAACACCTTGTGTGACCCTCCTGGAACAGGAGAGGATGGAAGGCCTGTAAGAAGCTGCTATGAGGCCATTTCCCACTGGCCTTATCTCCCCTGGGAGGTTGTCATGAGATAGTTTCTTGTCAACTCCCAGATTCTGATGTGGGATGGGTGTTTCTGCTCCCCTCCTCTCAGATTACAGTTGAGAATATAAAATCTAACTTAAAAAAAAAAGTCAATATACCAGCCAGCTACCCACACCCCTCCCCAAAATTGTCAGGCTGGTTGGTTAGCTCAGTTAGAGTACAGTGTTGTAACACCAAGGGTCCAGGGTTTGGATCCCCATGGTGGCCAGCTATGCTGCCCTGCCCCCATGGCAAAGATTAGATTTGTTCCCATTTCCCAGCCAAAGGTTATAGATTGCTCTAAGATATCAAACTGCCAACAAGAAGATTCCCTACAATCTTACCTATTTGTCTCTTTCCAGCTTCCAGGTGCTGAAGAGCCCTCTTCTGGGTCTGGCACTGCCTGAGGCTGAGTTTGATTCAGGAAAAATAAATGTGTCTAGAATGCTTAAGACCCTGCCTAGGCCATGTCCCCACCTCCAGACCCCCGGTATTATAGGAATCCCGCCCAAAATTATCAGTTAAAAATAAATAAATTGGGTTGGCCAGTTTCTCAGTTGGTTACAGCACAGCCTTATAACACCAAGGTCAAGGATTTGGATCCCCATACCGGCCAGCCATCAAAAAAAAAAATTAACTAGCAAAACAAAACAAACCACTTAGCTGCTGTCTAGGTTGTTGGCTCCCAACAACAGGGTATCTCTCAACTCACTGCAGTCATCCCTTTCTGTTTCAGTATAGTCCTTTTTGGTGTGTGGGACAAGGATCTGGGAATTTGGCACTTTGGACTTACTCTTCACTGTCTACGTAAGTAATAAACTGTCTAGTTAGAGGTGGTGCCAATAACACCAAGCTCAAGGGTTAGGATCCCTGTACTGGCCAGCCACCAAAAAAGCCCACAAAAAAATCCAAAAGAAAACTGGCTCCTTACATCTTTACTGGTCAAATCATTCTGGCCTTGGTCTGGCCTTGCCTTATGTGTGAGCTTGACAATCTACAAAGTTAAAAAGTCAAAACTATATTTAAAAAGTAGACTCTGGGCTGGCCAGTTAGCTCACTTGGGAGAGCAAGGTGCTGATAACACCAAGGTCAAGGGTTTGGATCTCCTTACCAGCCACCCCTAAAAATAAATAAATAAATGCAAAGTATGCGCAGAAATCTTAGTTCTATTCTTGTCACCTCTATGTTGTTCCACTGACAAACTAATTGGGTCACACTAACTGATAAGTAATCAGATTCAGGGCCGGCCCGTGGCTCACTCGGGAGAGTGTGGTGCTGATAACACCAAGGCCGCAGGTTCGGATCCCATATAGGGATGGCCGGTTCGCTCACTGGCTGAGCGTGGTGCTGACAACACCAAGTCAAGGGTTAAGATCCCCTTACCGGTCATCTTTAAAAAAAAAAAAAAGAGTAATCAGTTTCATTAGTTTCTTGATTATCTACGTGTTCTTTTTTGTTTTGGTGGCTGGTCATTACAGGGATCTGAACCCTTGACCTTGGTGTTATAACACCATGTGTTCCTTTTCGAAAAACAAGCCAATATATACACACTTGTATATATATCCTTGATTTCTTTCTTACACAAAAGGTAGTATAATATATGTTCTTTTATACATTGCTTTTTTCACTTAGAATATCCTAGAAATCACTCCATGTAAGTTTGAAGAGTCCATCTTCATAATTTTCAACTGTAACTTTCTGCTTAACAACCCTTTATTTACCCACCAAAAATCATAGGGATCTAGGTAAGGGTGTGAGGAGTAAGTGTTTTTTGTCTTGTTTCCCATTTCCTCCCATTCTGAACCACAGATTGGAAGACAACGTAGTAGAATTTAAGCATTTCTTATTCTCCCCAGAGTAGATAGAAATAGCAGGTATCATGTATTTTTCTGTAACTTCTTGGCTCTGAGATCCTCCTGGGTTCCATACCCCATAATCTCAGTATGGTTCCAATTAAAAGTGGCATAATGAGGCTGCTTGTGTTCTCTTCCTGAAGCAGTTGAGGGCTCACACTCCCTCTGTACTGACCAGCTTCCTGCACTTCAGTTTCTCAGGGCCCTCCAGAGTGCAGTCCAAAACTATCAAATATGGGCACTGGATGAGCACCAGCATCCTGCACACTATAAACAGCCTCTTCTATTCCTAAAGGACTCTGTGCCTCACATTTACATAGTTGACTACAGTCAACTTTTATTATATACTGTTTTCTATTCGCTAAATCCCACCCCCCAATTAGATTATAAACCTCGAGAACTCTGTCATCCGATCCTATACTGGACAGCAAATCAACTCTGTCACACTTGTTTTGTGTCTAATATAGTGCTTGAAATAATAAGTGTATTGAAGACAGCAGATACTTATAAAGTCCCTACTGAGCTTTCCAGTTAATACAGGAAGCTCCCATACCTGTCAAAGATCTAGAGAATTCACTCTGCTACTTCATTTTTCATATTGGGACTTACTTACCTTGCATAATCCTGGGGGGAGATCAGAAACTTCTCTTTCATCTGGACCTCAGCCTTGTTCTCCCACCAGAATTTGTTGGTCGCTTTCTTGTGCTCTGGGCTGAGAATGGAGAGAATAAATAATCACAGCTATAGATTGTAAAATATTAGATATCTAAGCATTAGGTAATTAACGCAAACTGACATCTGGGTTTCTGCCTTGGGCAAAGCTGAGAGAGGAATACCGTTACCAGTCTCCAAGATTTCCAGTCTCCCTTCTTCCAATTAAATTGTGAATATCTGAGGGGAGGTGATGGGCAGTGACCAACTGGCTCTCCTTGCTAGACCACTAACATCACTGAGACCATGGCAGCTATAAGCCTCCTACCCCGGAAGGCTGGCAATGCTTGTAAAGAGACTCAATCCATCCACCCGGATCAAATCACTAAAGTGTCCTCCCTCGGCTCCCAGCCCGGCGGTCACCTGGCTAGATGCTCCAGCAGACCCCCGTGCAGCACCGTCAGGTTTCCGTGGCTCAGGTGTTTCCGCACCTCACAGCTGCAGCACAGGCACCAGCAGCAGCGCTCGTGCTCGGGCACGTACCGCTCCACCTGAGCGGCGCGGATGGCCTTGCGGGCGGCCTCCACCTGCGGGGTAGAGACCAAGCAGGACCCCGAGGGGGACCCCTAAATCACAACCCCCGGGCGCTCACTGCACTGCCCTGCATCCCCCGCCCCCTCCAGCCTCGCTCCGCACCTGGGGCAGGAGCCGCTCCAAAGCCACCTTCAGCTGCCGCTGGTGCTTGCGGCTGTAGACGTGTCCGCGACCACAGAAGAAGGTCTGTCGGCACAGAGGGCAGCGCTGCGCCGGCGCCATAAGCCAAGCAACCGGTATCTCCGCTACTTGCGGCCTGTTCCTGCCATCCGGTGACCCGTGACCCCTGACCCCTCAGGGAGGAGCGAACCCAGCGGCTAGCGCCCCCAGCGGCCGGCTGGCTCCACTGCAAACCTTTCTGAGGCTGCGCATACCCTTCGCCCCACGCCCCAGTCTCTGTGCAACCCCACGGAGTCATCAGTACGCTCAAGTGGAATAGTGAGAGGGGTCGACCCCGGCGTGCAGATTCGCGGGAAGGTGAGGAGCGCAGACCGCACGCGTCTCTAGGCCCTGACGCGGGCCGCATAACAGCGTAGCAAATCATAACTGATATTTACAGGGTGCGCACTGTGTTTCCAGAGCTTTACGTTAATACCTCACTGAATCCTCGTCTGACCCCTGTCTGGTGTACTATTGTTTGCATTTTACAAGCGGAGAAACTGAGGCGTACAGGAGGTAAGGAATTTTGTGGAAGGTTGCACTAGTGTTAAGTGGCAGAGTCAGCACCTCCAGCTCCAGTGCTCATTAGTACCTGAAAGCTGTAGGTGAGCAGGGGTCTACACTGACCACTACCTCCCATGTGGCCTTACCTTCAGTCCGACCTTTAGCTGCAGGGATACCTCCATTCCTGAAGACTCCTCCTTTTTATCCATTCACTCAGAAAATTATTCAACATCTGCCTGCTGCATTTGAGGGGGACAGCACTAGCCCCCACCCCTCCGCGCCGCCCCAGGCTCTCAGCATCCGGGAGCTTATTAGTAATGCAAATTCTTGGGCCCCAAGCTAGACCTATAGAGTCACAAACTCCGGGGGTGGGGGATGGGGAATGGGGGTGGGCCGTGGGGCCCACCCAGCATTTGTGGTTTAATGAACCCTTCAGTTTATTCTGATTCTCCCTCGAGTTTGAGAAGCACTGGTCTAAGTCTCAGGTCCTCTGGCTCCACTTTATCCCCTGGGTTCCAGGAATGTTTCAACTACACTCCAAAGTCAAATTCTAACTTAACTTGACCTTCCAGGACCTCTCATTCTGTCAAACCCCAACCTGAGATCAACGCAGGCATATGTTTCCCTCATTTGTTCCAAAGCTGCTCAGAGTATTTGACACTATTTGCTTCAACTTCTCTTAACTTCTTAGCCCTCTGCAATTTTGCTTGAGAAACTGTTTTCCTAAAGTTCTTCACCACCAAGTATTCAGCTGCCATCTGAGTGGTCTGTGTGAAATGAAACTCAACATATTCCTCTTTAGGACATCCCTCTTTTCATCTTCGCAGGGAATGATACCACCAAGCTAAGGTCTGGAGCTTTGGGGTGAGTTATCCTTAACACTCCCTTTTACTCAACCCCACATCCACTCTGCACAGGTTTCTTATTTATTGGACTTGAGATGTTTAAAGTCTGTCCTCCCTAAAGGGTCATGAAAATCAACTACAATGTATATTGAGAAGTTAAAATTAAAAAAAAATAAAAATAAGTAAATAAATAAAAAAGTCTGTCCTCCACTTTTTATGCTCAGAGCATACTTCATTTCAGTTCCCTTCCTCTCTTGCTTAAATTCATGTAAAATCTCTCTGACTGGTTTCTAAGTGTCTTATGTATTCCAGCTCCATTTATCCTCCACACTCTGGTCTTACGAAAGTCTCCAAAATGACTTTCCTGACTAATACCTCTAAATTGCCTTCACAACAAATCTAAACGTCCTCGGCATGCCATTCAAAGCTTTTTACAGTATGATTCCCAACTTCCATAGCTCTCCCCTTCCCCTCCCCTGACCGCCTCCACCCCTTCCTCCAGGCAATATTCCTGTAGTCCTATTGCTCCTGTGCACTTGAGCATCTCCAGCTCTTGGTTCCCTCTGTCTGGAATGTACTTCTTTCCAATTCTGCCTCATAAATTGTTTCTCTTATATGAGGCTCTAAAATGTGAACTAGAAGGTAATTTCCGTGAAGCTGGTGACTTTATCTGACAGATGGTAAGTTCTCAGTATTTTTTTTTAAATTATGACTTTATTGTAAATTTTTTACCATATCATATTACTATAAGTACATACAAATTATCTATAACATATACAAATTATACCTTTTAATCATCTTATTTTTCATTATAACTTTAATTTATATTACTATATTAAAGTAAAAAGAAAAGAATAAACTGAAACAATTTGGTGAAAGGAGGACACAGAAGAAACCCTTTAAAGTACGCTCTCTACAGGGGAGAACACTTGTCCCGCTCTCCTTGTGTTTCTTTGTTGAGGAGGAAGCTTAATCAGTATAACATTCCAGGTCTCAGGGGCAACAGAACAACATACCACATTGGTAAACACAGAAAGAATAAAACAGGAATGCTAGACTTGGCTCCTCCATTTTTATCTTCATGGGAGCCAGCCTGCCTACAGGGAGCATGAGTTCGCAATCACTTCCCTCTAAGCCTTTAGTTGCATGGAGAGGACAGGGGAGGCTTTGTTTGGGAGTATGTTCTGGTTACTATTGCTGCATAACAAGTTAATACAAAAGTTAAAGACTTAACATGGCCTTTTTTGTTTTTTTTTTTTTTGCTTGAGGATTTTGTGGGTCAGGAATTTGGAAGGAACACAGCAGAAAAGACTTGTCTTTGCTCCAGGACACCCAGTTTTTTGGTTTTATTTATTTATTTTTTTGAGACAATGAAATGTCACCCCTTTTGTGAAGCCTTCCAGACCTGTCCTTGCAGAATTCATTTCTCCATTCCAAGGTCCTTTGTTCATCTTGTCATCATTTTTGTTTAGTAGTCAATTGAAAACCTAATAGTTGAAAAGCTCCTGAAGTGTAGGTATTGTGTCCCAGTCATGCTTGACTCCTTAGAATTAGCGTATGGTGGTCTTCTATGTCAAATTAAGTTAAAACCATAAAAACACAGGCACGCTGAGGTTAAAATGCCCCTTATGGGTGAGAATTTGTGCAGAGAAGGAGCCCAGGAAGCATGCAGCTAACAGTCTGCTAATTAGTATTGTCAAGCTAGCATACAGGCTCATAGTTAGCTTTGTTTACTTATTTTAAAATTGTAAAAAGTAGGGCTTGCTGGTCAGCTCAGTTGGTTAGGCTGCAGCTTTTTAACACCAAAGTCACAAGTTTGGATCCCCATATCAGCCAGCAGCCCATGAAAAAAAAATAGTAAAAAGTGATTTCTGGGCCGGCCCATGGCTCACTCGGGAGAGTGCGGTGCTGATAACACCAAGGCCCCAGGGTGCGGTGCTGATAACACCAAGGCCCCAGGGTGCGGTGCTGATAACACCAAGGCCCCAGGGTGCGGTGCTGATAACACCAAGGCCCCAGGGTGCGGTGCTGATAACACCAAGGCCCCAGGGTGCGGTGCTGATAACACCAAGGCCCCAGGTTCGGATCCCATATAGGGATGGCCGGTTAGCTCATCGGGTGAGCATGGTGCTAACAACACCAAGTCAAGGGTTAAGATCCCCTTACCAGTCATCTTTAAAAAAAAAAAAAAAGTGATTTCTTGGCTTCCAGTCAAGATGGTGGAATATGTGGTCCCCAGCATCACTCTCTTCCACAAATCTACCAATTTACAACTACAAAAAAGCAACAACATAGGGCTGGCCCATGGCTCACTTTAGAGAGTGTGGTGCTGATAACACTGAGGCCATGGGTTCAGATCCCTATATAGGGATGGCTGGTTGCTCACTTGGGAGAGCATGGTGCTGACAACACCAAGTTAAGGGTTAAGATTTCCTTCCCGGTCATCTTTTTAAAAAAACAAACAAACAAACAAACAAACAGCCAAGCTGGGACCACTAGAGCTCAGGGGAAGGAGGGGAGACCTATGGAGTTCATGAAGGTGGGAGAAGCCACAATGAGAGAAAGAAAAAACTACTTGGAGCGTTTAGGGCCGTGGCTGCTTTAAGCCTGGAGCTGCTGAGTGCACAGAACAGGAAGGGGCAAAAGCCACAGCTGTGCCCTTTGGATGGAGTTGCTTGGAGGTGGCAGGGGAGAAGAGGGCCTTGGTGGCCCCCAGGACAGCAAGACCACTAATTGGGTTCCCGTGGACCCACGCAGGAGTGAGGAACCAGAACAACTGAAAAAAAGGAGCCATTCAGGTGCTGGTGAGTGATTGCAAGGGACCAGTGCACGGCCCGTCCCATGGGAAGTGTTTGCAGCGTGGGTAGTGGGGAAGACAGGCCCACCAGAAGAACACCGGGACACAGCAAGGACAGCCAACCCACCCCCCAATCAGCACAGGACCACTCAGAGGAGACTGTTCAGTAATATAGAATTGCATGGGGTGCAGTTTGGTGAAAAGACTCAGGTCCAAATCAGAGTTCCTTCACAACCCAGGTGTACCGGGTCTCTGGAGAGCCAGAAGTACCTATAAGGTCAACCATTAAACCCTGAGCTGCACAAAAAGCCTTCCCTAGGGAAACAGCAGCAAAGTAGCAATTTAGCTAAACTACACAGCTCAAGTACTGGTTCCCACAGGAACTTCCCCCATTTTAGAAATAAGCAAAGTACAAAAAATTAGTTCCAGCCCAGGCACATGGCCAGCGCCTTGGGCGCACCCAGGGACCTGAGGTATGGAGCCAGGGACTGGACCCCCTCCCACAACCAGGCACACCGCCAGTGCCAAGGACCATGCCAAAAACATCACCTCCATGTGGGTGGCCCACCACAGCCACCACAGTAACCATGGCTGCCATGAAAGTGGGTAGACGGGCCGGCCCAGTGGCTCACTCGGGAGAGTGCGGTGCTGATAACACCAAGGCCCCGGGTTCGGATCCCATATAGGGATGGCCGGTTCGCTCACTGGCTGGGCGTGGTGCTGACAACACCAAGTCAAGGGTTAAGATCCCCTTACCGGTCATCTTTTAAAAAAAAAAAAGAAAGTGGGTAGACGTCACAACCACCATGCAGATGGCCCACCAGCCACTGGAGTGCATTGACACAAGGAGAGCCACCAGCCGAGACCACAGAAAGGAAGAGGATGTCTCTCTCCACAAAGCCCATTCCAGAGTGACAGAAGAAGCATCTGTTGGGGGACCTGAACACACCTCTCAGCATTGGACAGATCATCTAG